TTTATCAACAATTTAATTAGGTACGATTATTTTTTAATTTTATTTTTCACTATTATATTATTTATTAATAAACAAAATGTTAAAACTGATTTAAAATGGATAATAATAGAAACCCATTATATATATAGTTCTTTACACTTTTCAGATTGTAATTTGCCAAAAGCACTTTTTTCCTTAAATTTAAAAACTTGACATACTATGCCATTTTTGCCAGAAATTTGCAAAATATTATTCAAAGAATATACAATTAAGAAGTAGTGCTCTAATTCTAGTAGTACAGTCTCTATAATTACATATTCCATTTAAATAAATACAAACGAACTACGGAGATTCTTTTGTCGAACAAATAAACGTATTTAGCTGTTTTATGCCTTAGCAGTATATTTTCGCACACGCCTGTAAGATTTTCATCCCCGCGCGGGGGATGCGCATCCGGACATGATCATCGTCCGCTGTCCGAGGAAAAGTTCGTCACGGTGGTCAGAAGCGAGGTCGTTCCGCAATGTGCTTAATGTACTATTAAACGCAACTATTGTGCCGGCGGCCGTCCATCGCGCTCACAAATTTGCTTCCGCCGCGCCCCTATTCGTTCTGTAAGTCCTTCCCTATGACCTCCGAAGATAGAGGAGACGAGCACGTGCCACCCTCATTCCAACAGACAAAATGTACGAAAAGTGATTCCCGCTCTCTATACGCCAATCCTCCGGTTATCGGTCCATGTTTTCAAATTTCCATTCACAATAAAACGGAAAAAAAATCGTATATCTCACAGAACAAAGATGGTATTCATATGTTAAAACGTTCGGTAGAGAGAAATCCCCGTATAATACTCGCAAAGTAAGCACTTTAGCTTGTAATTCGCGTTACTTTTTTTCGATTAAAGAAACTTTTCAGCTTTTTAAGAATTTCTTAATGAGATCGATTTTTTATTTTTAGTTATATCATATGATATTTTTTTGCGTATTTCTGATATATACTTATATCGTCCTCACAACATAATTTCATACAAATTAAAGGTATTGAACTCTTTAAGTAATAATATTTGTAAAAAGTGGTTAGTCTGTGTATGATTGCTTTAAAATTAATTGTCTTTACTTTCTGACATACTTCTTACATTGAATTTTTTATATTACAGGAAGAATAACTATACTTATAAGGATACTTTACGGTTATAGATCTCTATATTCGCTTTTATTATATGTTAAAGCATTTTGTGTGGTCGTAATTTTTCTCTTGTCATAAGTTATTGAATTTTGCAAATTTCTCGGAGCTGGCGAACAATCGCCAAACGACGACAAAGAGAGAAACGTTGATGTAGCATTACGAATGCTGAAATTACGGTCGAGTTGACGACAAATCGACTTTCATATGCGGGAAAAGACAGGCATTCCCTGCTGAAGATAATAAAAATTTGTACAAGGAAGTTCGTCCACCGAGCATATTGCGTCAGCTATTTTTATAGAATGTGCTGTAATAATTCAATTTTTTACTATATTGCGACATTTCTTTTCCGATTTCGAATATTCAATTGATTTTTATAAACTAAAGTTGAACTTTCCCATAAAAGTTAGACTTTTTATTTTTCCGCGCGCGATTGCAGCAATATATATGATCAACAATCTCCGTTTTGCGTCACAAACTATGTTGCTGATCCAAGACGCGAATACGCAATTTCAGCATTCGTCTATAAATTAGTAATCTCAGCTCGGTGTTGTGAATATCAATTTAGTGGCAAGCGACGCGCGATAAAATTCAAATAAGGGAGCCAAGGACGATCCGCGACGGCGCATCGCGGAAAGTGCATACCTCTTGCCGTCGTTACTGGCAGTTTCCTGCGATAACCCCAGCATTATACGCGTTGTCCCCAACGAACGGGACGAGGAATTCACAATGGTCCACAATGACTGGGCCAACATTACGAATTAGGCTCGGTTACGCGTTTATTGCCGATTCCGGTCCGGGCCAGCAGCGTCGGTGCGCTTTTCCCCGTTGACGTCAACGCGAATCGACGACCGGGCGTCGCGTCGTCCGGCACCGACGCCACTGTCGAGACGAGAAGTATTAGCATTGGTTAGCTTTATGGGGCGTTCAGTTCCGCCGTTCTCTTTCTCTCTCCCTCATTCTCCCCGGCTCTTACTCCGCTCGAGAAAGCGAGATAGCGGGAGAGAAAAAGAGGGAGAAAGCCGCCACTGTGCAGATCAATAAAATCTGTCTGTCTAGAAAAGTAATGCCAAATCGGCCCTCCGCTCCCGGTACGAATAAATGCCACAAAAGGAGCGGAACAACGTGCGATGGTTTAAACTTCGTCGATAAGTCGCCGATTTCAACTCCCGTGGAGTTTTCGCTGATCGTGGGAATCGCGGAAATGATTACCTCATTCGGAAATATTATCGAGAGGAGGGGGGAAAAAAAAAGAAATTGACGCTATGTTCGAAGAAAAATCTCTTTGAACGAACAAAATCATGATGTAGCAAAAGTAATAAGAAAAGAGCAAAATCTGGAGTATTTATTTTTTAACACAAAAATAAATTACTGTTAAATTTGAATTGAATCAAATGAATATTGCCAACCCCATTTCGATCTCCGCTGAGTGCGTGCGTTCTCACAGGATTATTGATGTACCGGTCCTTTTTTTTCTCGTTGTGGTGACTGGCAAGAGTCCGAAAGGGTGGAAATTGGGGCGCGGTAATTATTAATCAATTTCCGTATTAATTGTTTTCTGGGCGGCGGGCTTAAGTGGTATGTTGTGTTCTGGTTCTTGGCAAGCTCTGCCCCGTAACCAGCTAAAATGTCATGCGAGAAGATTAATTACGTCGCGGCTACATTTTATGTGTGTCATACGAGCGGGTACTCTCTTCTTCGGCCGCTCGATACGAAGTAGACGAGGTCACGTAAATTCGATTTTGAAGAAAATCACTCAGAAGGACGATAAAGGAGATGAAGTTCTGCTATTATAAATACAATTATTTAAACAGATTCCAGCATAACAATGCTGGAATTTATATCAATGTTTCTATAATTAATATATGATGTAAATATTAATAATTTCGCCATATTCGATAATACTCTCAGTTTTAACTTCACGCACTTTATTTATACATCTAATATCTGCTAAATTTTTTTTAAACAATGTGCTATTAAAGTATTCGAGAGAAATAATCGATTGCGTTACATGATACTATATATATTTCTGCAAATATAGAAGGAAGCCTGTTAGTTATGGTTAAAGATAGTCGTAAAGGGTTGCGATGCTTTCGGCAACTAAGCATGAATCCCGTAAGGCGAAGGTCTCATTAAAACGTCCTTCTGAAGGCAAACTTTATCATTTCTTTGAACAGACGTGACTCGCCGGTTGTACTCAACAACTGTCGGGCTCCCTTCCTCGCGAAGGGATGGAAAAAAAGGGGTACATGAAAATAAAGAGATCCGCGGGAATGAGATTTCACCGGTACTCCGTTCCCGAGCCACGAAAGAGCCAAGTTAGTTTTATTTTACAATCCATCGGCTTCCACGACATGCAGGGGTGGGCCTCGTCCTTCAGTGGTGGCGTAGTCGGAGAACAAGAGAGAAAGAGAAGTAGCAAGAGAGAACGAGAGAAAGAGAGGTGGAGGAATCCTTCAGGACGGTTGGATGGGCGTCGTGACGGGGGTGGAACGGCTGTCAACTAGTGTTTTAAAAGTTTGCGACAGCCTACAAATTGACTCGCTCAGTTCTTTTTAAAAGCACCGGCAACCAACCACGTCGCGCAACCCGCTTTCCGTCTATCCCTGGCACCAGAACCGTGTCGACGACTGAAAAATCCAGAAGTATTACCTTGACGCGAAGACAAACGATTTTCGTTTAACAAAAATATTTATTTTTAGCCTTTTTAATCGCTTGTTAGATTGCTCCCTGCTTCAGTTTATTTCCTCTATTAATATAAAATTAAATCAATAATTTACTAAGTTTTTAAAGAAAAATTCTATTCTTAATAAACTTTTAGAGAAAACAAATTACATAAATTATGCGTTACAAAAATTTTCAGAAATTTTGTTTATTAACATTTTATGATTTGGTATGTTAGCGAACACATTCACAACAGTTAAACTTTATTCGAGCTTTGTTCTATTTTTAAGGTATTTGTTTAAATAAAAAATTGTCAGTATATATAATAATAAATAGAGGTGTACCATTAGGGAAGTATACACTCTTGCAAACACTAATATATTATATAAAACCAGTAACAAAACGCATGCAATAAATTGTATTGAAAGCCTTTCTCTATCATCTATTGTATGTTCGATCACTATTCTCAAGAATATCGCGAAAAGTTGCGACCATTCTTGGACAAATCGACCTCGGAGAGACGGTCAATCCTGTATCGCGAACATACTTACGTGCGTGATCCGAAACCAGGAAGTTTAAAAGTATTTCGACGTAAAACGCGGCCATTTCTCATATTTTCTATGCAAGCACGTTTCGCCGAGGGCGCATTTGATACACTCTATTAGTCGCATCTCCCGACTGATTTATGAAGTTACTCTCAACATTATTATACGTTTCCCCCATTTTGAATCCCGAGCTTACCACAGCAAGTTTAGTAGCTCGCGTATATTCCATTACGCAAAGAAGATCAATGGATATCCTACGACTGAACATCTAAATTTTCAGATATACCGTATAGCTTATGAATAAATGCTCCAATTCGACTAGATGTTCACGATTTCTTGTATTAATATTTGCATGTGTTTTATAATAAAATTTTTATAGATTTCAATTATTTAATCATTAAATTTGAATTTAATTCTATTTGATCTCTTTAATATAAAATTATAATACATATGTCGTTCTGTTTCAAATTAAATTTTTTGCTTTATATTGAACAAAAAATATTATGCAATATAAGAACACGTTAATTCATATTAATCACATTACATTAAATAGTGAAATAATATAATCTTGTAAACATCATATGTAAAAATTTTCATCAGCTTAAATATAAGAGTTAAATAACTTATCAATTTATACCAGCAAAAAGAACTTAGTTTTATTATAAAAAAGTATTGGTTTATCCAGAAAATATACATGCAATGCAAGTCTTGAGTCAAATATAGGCTAAGAAAGGAACCTCTCAGCTTTTCTCCATCATCTTGTTCTTTAAATATCCTCCTCAATTCTGTAAATCCCAACATCTTGCTTCACACGGCGATTCCATTAGAATCGTTTAGGAATTATCCATAATTCTTCATGGATTTCCTGCTATATAGGCAGAAGAGTTGTCGGTCGCGGTGATTCGAACATCGAAAAATTTTGCGAGAGATAGGATGGTGACTTCAAGCCACTGCTATTTGTAAGTTCCGGTAAAGGATCCATTACCCTTGTTTCGCAATCCATGAACTGCTGCTCCTCACTGTACCATTTATTTCGAGCTTCTTGTACGACGATCCAGAAGTACATGCTTAAAGCTGAAATTATTATCGAGTGAACAATATTTCCTACATAGAATCTCGTACAAAAGCTTGCACAATATTTTTTTAATAAATACGTGATAATGTTAATTAAATTTAAATTACTTAAATGACTAAAATCTATAAAAATTTGTTATAAAACACTTTTGCGAATTTTAATACAAGAAATCGTGATACGTGATAACGTTTTTTAGAATAAAATTACTTTGATATAAATTATCGTGAAAATAAAAAATCGTTAAAGTTTAATCTGCTGAAATTAATTTTAATTAAGTTAAATCATTTTGTACTATATTTTTTGTCAGCAATAAAAATCGGAAAACGAATTAAAAGCTCGAATATTTACATTTACTTGCAATAATTTGCATATACATTTACACATTTGTATTTAGAATTCGGTTTGAATTTTTGCAATCTTGAAAGGGATTAGAAACATACTTACTCAAATAGGTGCAGTGTACCATAATGTAACCCATAGCTTTTCCTATAGCAACATTTTCAGTATGTACTGCATTATCACATATCGCCACGAACTGATCTATTATGCTAATCATTTGCAAATACATCCAAGGCACGGCGCACTTAGGTCTTCTCTGTGAACGTATGCGGAAGTTAGTATAATTGTCAGCGAGTTGAGACAAGGTTGTTACGTGCCCGAAATACATCTTTCGAATAAAGAGCGTTTGACGAATTTGTATTCGATCGGCAATGTCACTACTCGCGACCTTTATCGTAAGAAAATAAATGAAACTCATACACATACTTTACTCGTAAATAAAGTATCGCAATAAATAAAAAGTTTTTAATTTGCTGTTGAATAGTTAATGCTTGAAAAAAATTAAGACTTATAAAATTATTCACGATACTTATCGAAAAATAATAATTTATGATAACATTATTGATATCAGCTCAAAATTAATTATAAAAAAACATAAAATATATGACAAAGTCTGAATAGACTGATTTTCGTTCTGCATTTTTCTTTTATTCGGTCGTTTGTTTGCTCGTTAATATTTAACATATGACTTTGCATTTGTCAATCAATTTAAGTTTGTGAACAGTTGACTAAAAATCAATTTAATTAGTTTTACGATATTTTAAAATGCTCACCGAAATCGATCCCAAGGCAAGATAAGCACCGGTTAGCAAAAACAACACGATGTATATAAGAATACATATCATGGCAGTTTGAGCTGAAACACATGACCTTACATTATCGTTGGTTTGCAGAAGCAATTTGCAATTGGTATTTTAAGCGAAACTTGAACTTACCTTTTTGCTGCAATCGCATGTGTGTTATAATTTGTACCCAATTCAATCCCAGAATTGCCCAAGTATTGACAGATTCGAAAAAATCCTCGTCCCCTTTTCTCGTGAAGAAATTACTCATCAATACGTTTATCATTAGAATCGCAAGAGACTAAAAAAACAAGAAAAAACTGAATATAGTTATAAAAATACAAACTTAAAAATAATAATTTTTTAAATATTTAAATTAGAATTTATAAATTTACTTTTATATATACTTTTATATATACTTTTATATATACATGGCTCATGGAAAAACAATATATTAATTAATGTATAATGTATATTGTATAATGTATTGTTCTGAAAGTTTTCTAGTTATTCCTATAAAAATAAAATTGAAAAAAATTAGAAAATTTTTTGAACAATTTCATACATTATTTTATAAAAAATAAATAAATTTTCTAACAATTTAATTAACTAAAAAATTAAAATAATATTAAAACCAATTTATTTTAAAATAATACACTTATATTTAGAAGTTAGAAATGATTTATATAATAAATGCAATTGAGAATTTCTGAATTTAATAATTTATTATTTGTTATTAATATGCTCGACCCGAAAAATATTATATTGTATATATGTGCAGTATAGTTAATTTAAAAAAAATTTTTATATTATATATTACTGTACATATTTGTCCAATTATTATAATTTTATACTCTTTAATCACTTTTAGCACTGAGTCAGCAAATGTAATTTTTCTTTAATGTTTAATATTAATGCATTTAATACTAATTTAAGATGCAAATCAGAGAGACAACTGTATTTAATTCTAAATTTACGATGCAAACACGGAATAAGCACGTGTAAATTCTTAGACTTACCATCGTATACGTCGCAATAATCCTTGTCATCAACGTCACACTGATGCAGCATGGCTTAGTAGTACTCATAGTGAATTAAAATTTTTCGTCTGATCACGTCGCTTCGCGGACACGAAATGCCTGATTTCACCGTGATACTTTTCGTGTTACCTTGCCAGACGATACTTGCACGATACATTGTAAAAAATGTAAACACACATGGCCTGAAGCAAACACGCGCTCAGAGTGGCAATCTCCGAAATTAATCTCACACACGTTGTACGTGTACCACGCAAACGGGCCCTGATAATTGTTAAACACGTTAGTAAATATTTAACGTAGTTCCGGTTTGTATCCGTCAAACGATGTGACGACTGCTAGACAGAGGCTCGACTTTAATAAATGCTACGCACAATGTAACTGTTCGATTATCGCGGTAGTAATGTTGTCTTACCTGTTCTTAAGACTTGCTAATGATCCACTGCCGTAATAATGATAATCAAGTTTGTCAATGTATTACCGCTTTCAACAACAAGGACATTTTACCTTATTGTTTAGGATTTTCAACTTATGTTTATTAAATTATATTTTGCTAAAATATAAATTCTGATTATACTGATTAGTTTTTAATTATACAAATTAAATCTTGATTAAATGCTTTAATGACATTATAAAAGAATTATAAAATAAAAAATATTGACTTCTAAATCTAATTTACGAGATTTTTGCTTCTAAAGCAAATATAAAATTAATATTATTTAAATAAGTATACGTCTTATTAATTTATATTTTTAGAAAAATAAAAAAATTTTATTACTTATAATTAAATTAAATTAACTAACATGTATTGATTAAAAAATATACATAATAATTACAGTATTTTATACTATTTCTCTATTTTTTGTTAAAAATAATTATATTATATTATAGATTTTGAATAGTAGCATAATTATGAATCACACACACGTATATCATACACGAGGCCGTTACTAGACAATTCGCAATATACGTTTCAGCATAGGGCGCCAAATTTGGAGGGGCACAAAATTTTAATAGGCACCAATAATTTTTGAAGTGTCAAATAACATATAAAAATTGATCGCTCGGTCTGCGATGACCCGCCCTTACTTGGCTCAATGCCGTCCACTTGTAAAATCGTTTAATCGTGTGACGGCCAGAAAATAATGATCTTTATTTTTGTAACTTTGTGCTGAGGTACGCGAGCGAATTTCAGAATAGGAGCGCTTAAAACAGTCGTAACAATCCCGGTCACACATGAAATGTGACTATACAATTAATAACTATATACAATACTATACAATTAATAACAATTTTAGCAAAATTAAGGAATTAAAGTCTTTCTTTCTTAATTCTTTTGTTTTTCTTTTTTCTCTCTTTCTCTAATGTTTAATTATATATTTCATTTTATTTTAAGTATAGAAAGTATAAAAGATAATACAGTTAGAAGGAACAGCGTTGCTACGAAATGTGTTCAAATGTACGCATGCGTGTAGTTCACCACGTGTTTCACAGACTGCTTCAGAGTGCTTGATATGTGTGTTAAGAAACGTTACATTTACGGGTATTTTATTTTCCTACACGTATAAAAGAAAAGTGATAAACAAATTTGTGATAAACAAGTGTATCTTATACAATGGCAATTCCAGACATGGATATTTCTTTAAATATAGTAACAGGTCCAGCTGTTCCAAGGAAAAAGGTAAGAGTTAGGTTAGGAAATCTGGAAACATACTGTGTATATACAAATATAAATTTTATGTATAATAGCTATAATTTGTTATTAATAGTAGCTATAATGTGATAAAACATTGATAAATTAATATGAAAAATATTTATATTTAGGATAAACAAAGAAATGTCGAGTCTTTTAGAACCTCAATTAAGAGATTGAAGAATCAACCTTTTCAAAAAGCCAAAGTACTAAATACACAAGAGACAGAAAGTAAAAAAAGAATTAAACAAAAATCATTGTCCACTATTGTTGCTAAAAAATTGAAACAAACAAATATTGCTAATCAAAATGTACGACAACAGTCTCAGATTCTATTTCAAGCGAAAACAGCGAAAACTGAGTCAAAGAATATTAACAAACCTGATGTTACAAAAGAGGATTTAAAGTTTGATAAAGTTTTATCTACTGTAGATTATGATACAAATAAACCAATTATATCCTTTGCTAAAACTACTAAAGAAAATTTTGGTAAAACACTGTTGGCGAAAAGGAGAAATACTTCAGAGAGTAAACCGAAGAAATCTCTTTCTGATATATTCTCTAATCAGTCAAAGAACCAGAATGAATCAAATATATCTATAACTCAAAAACGTGACATTAATAGTAAAACAGAGAAAGAATCCATGATAGTAGCTAAAAAATCATCTGTTTCGAAGAAAGGGATAGATATCTCGGGTAAAAGGAAAGAAAAGAAACATAAAGAAAAAACTATAAATAATGACAGGGAATCAGATAAAACACCAAAATTAATACACAGAGCTGGAGGAAAAACTTCTTCCTTATTTGGCAATAATCCTGATGTACCAACTATAGGCCAGAGATTTGTAAGGCCTGTGCATGAACCAGTTTTTACGGAGATCACTTTTGCAGATCTCAACATTCATCCTTTTATGGTTGGTATTTATATTTACTTAAAATTTAGAATATTAACATTTATGTTCATTAAAGTGACAATTTACACTTTTTCTCACTTTTTTTTCAGATATCAAATTTAGAGAAAAATATGCACATAACTAATATGACAACGGTTCAACAAAAAGCCATTCCTCAAATATTCTCAGCTAGAGATGTTTTAATAAGGTCTCAGACAGGATCTGGAAAAACATTAGCATATGCTTTACCTATTGTAGAATTATTACACAAAATTGAACCGAAATTAAGTAGAAACAGTGGCTTATCAGCTCTTGTAGTTGTACCAACAAGAGAATTGGCTTTGCAGACATATGAATGTTTTATAAAATTAATCAAAGTAAGTGAGGCAAACATATTTTAAATATATACATTAAATATATATACATTAAAACTTATATTACAATATTGTGATATAAATAATTTTAGCCTTTTACATGGATTGTGCCGGGATATATAGTTGGTGGAGAAAAGAGGAAAGCGGAAAAAGCTCGATTAAGAAAGGGATGTAACATATTAATTGCTACACCTGGTAGATTATTAGATCACATAAAGCAGACAAAAGCGTTGCGATTGAATGAAGTTAAATATTTTGTGTTAGATGAAGCTGATAGAATGCTTGATATGGGATATGAAAAAGATATTTCTGGGTAAGTTTTTTTAGCTTTGTAAAAGAATTATATAAATTTTTGACATAAATAAATTTAATTATCTTACCACATATTAATTGTTATTATAGTTACAAAATTAACACAATATACACATTTTGCATAATTTAGGATAGTAAGCGCTTTAAAAATATCAAGTTCTAATAATAACTCAGAATACGACCCTATGAAGATATTTAAACAAAATGCAAACAAGTCAGATGCAGATGAAAAGATTGAAGAAACGTCCAAACAAGATGTTGAATCTTCTGATAACATAAAAAAAAGTAATATCGATGTAAAGAAACAAGAATATCATTCAAATGATGACAGCGATAATGATCAAACTATTGTTCCATTGAAAAAAAAGAAAAAAGTTACAAAACATTCCGGCGCGAAAGAAAAACTTAATGTGAAAGTGGATAATACTCAAAACGCTGAACAAGATAGTGAAAATATAGATCGATCAAAAAGACAGACAATTTTGCTATCTGCAACTTTGACGCAAGCCGTTGAAAAATTAGCGGGTCTCACAATGAACAATCCACTCTTCGTCGATGCGGCGAAAGAAAATTTAGAAATGGCTGGAGGAGATACTAGCGAAATTAACGAAGATTTAATAGTCCCAGAAAGTGTAATTCAAAGTTATATAGTCACTCCACCTAAATTAAGAATGGTCACTCTGAGTGCTTACATCGCCGGAAGATGTCAGGTAACTCTTCGATCTTCAATTTAAGAACAATATGACTGCAATGTACTAGCTATACATTTTTTTTTAGATTCCTGGGCAACATAAGATGTTGATTTTTATGGCTACGCAAGATATGGTGGACTATCATACCGACATTTTGTCTTTTATCCTTACAAAACCAATAGACGATAATGACGAAGATTCTGACCCGCTTGTTGACGTAGAATTCTTTAAACTGCACGGCAACATGACGCATATGGAAAGGAAAGAGATCTTCAAAACTTTCAGACAAGCCAAAAGTGGAGTACTGCTGTGTACGGTGAGTCTTGTGTTTTATACTGCCAAAAACTGCTTCAAACAACCGCGAAAATTTTTGGCAAACATTTCTTTAAATGTTTTCTACTTCTTTGACTGCATAATATGAAATTGCGAATTTATTTATTTAAATGATATATTTATCATAAGATGATTTACTTGATATTGATATACTTAAAAAAATTGAAGAAGTCATATAAATCAATAATTAGGAGAAGAACAGTTGAAAAATAGAGCGAGTGGAACGAAGAAAAGACAGAGTTATCTGTCGGCACTCCCTGAGCTGTAAATTATTCCGTGGCTTATTCTTTCGGGAGGGAATTTAATACCTTTGGACCCACGCTGTGTTCGGAGGTTAAAAATTATACAGGCACATGAAGCCTTCGTAATGAGTATAATTATGATCATTTGTCCCTTCTGTATCCGTACTTCCTTCACTTTATAAAGCAATCGCTCAGCAACCCGAGATATTTGCAAAGTTAATTTTTTTCTTAACAATTACCACTCGTACCTTTAACGAGTATAAAAGGATATTTTTTTAGGTTTGCGTTTACCAAAATGTCTACCTGCTCGCGATATTTTTACAGAAGTGCTTGTTTTCGTTAATTGCATTCTGCGAACAACATAATTAATCACCACGCAATAATGTTCGCGGAGGAATGGATAACTTTCTTTCCCCGCTGCTAATTACATTCGTATTACATCGGCGGAATTAATCCGATGTCGAATAACAGAGCAACTTTCTGATTCGCATTGAACTCTCAGTGACTGCTTTAACTTGTCGTAATTACTGGTGAAAGCGATCGATTTCGTCGTTAGATGCGGGGATTGTCGAAAATAAAACGGCGCAGGTCTCATTATATCTTTCCTCATCCAACCAATTTAGATTTTAGCGTGAAATACTGTTATGGCACTTTCACGTGTCTGAAAGTATAGCGAACATCGGAAGAATGCGTGCAAACGAAAAAAAAAAAAGATTAAATCGCGGCAGGATTTACGAATTGTGAGTGTCACGATCGGCATCACGCGAACGAGTGACAACTTACGCACCGTGAAAATTAATTCTTTTCCATCATGCGATCTCATGGTCGATCCAAAAATCTTGAAATCTCGCCGCGGGTCCTCTCTCTGCTACCTTCGTTAAACCCTATACACGGCAATTAATTGGCAAACTGTTCTTTCGAATCGCGCCTTAAACCAAATTCACGAATCATTCCGGAATGAACAGCAGCACGATTATAATCTACAAAATTAATTCTGAATAACTGTTCACCAGACTTTATAACTTTTTTTGCGAGGAGACTCTTCTTCAGCTTTATTCATTTTCGAATTTCGTATATACCATAATTTTTTTAACACAACAAACTTTGAATAAAGAAATCACGATGTGAATAGAATAATAATCCTCGTAGCGATGAAGCAAGACAATTAAAACACAAACATTAAAATTACGATCGAATATATTTGCGCTTTAGAAACGCAAGATATATGATATTTGAAAAATTTCTTTATGATCAAGAGATTAATTTAAAGATTGGTATTTATTTTCTTAACAAGAAATATTAAATTTTCTTATTTATTATATGAAACTTTTTACATAACTTTTCTGTAGCTTTATAATTCTCACTAAATTAATCTTTAATGTTACATGACTGTTTATTATCATAAAAAGTTCTTACGTATTTTATTTTTACATTTTGCATTGTTTATTCAATTAATTCTACAATATTTAAAAAAAATTTGAACATTTTGAAAGTTAAATTTAATAAACTCCAAATTTGCCAAAGATTTGATATTAATTATTAATACAAGAGACTCAGAGATGTGAAATTTTGCCGTTTTAAATATTTATTTGTCCAAATAAACACAGTTATAATATTATAAGAGACTCATCAAAACCATCATTTTGGGGAAATTCAGGATATTAAAAATTTACATATCAATTATGGCCTTTACCGAGCTATATTTACTCGCTGTTATTATAATACTTGTAACAGATAAATCTCGTTCATAGTTAAATGTATTGACGCAACGTTGCTAACATTGGCACGAGTAACAAATAGAAAAAAAAGGGAACGGAATAATTTACTATGCACTTAGAGAAACGTACGTCGGACATATTTAACTCCTTAATGTTGATCCGCGGAATGTGCGATGGCAACCGCCCACGTTTTACGGCGTCGCTACCACGTAGGTTTTACGGCGGCGTTATTAATTTCCACGTTGAAAAGCCACGAGGGCACCCGCGGCCGGAATGTTCCACGGTTCTCAGCGGTGGTGGATCCGGATTCACGGTGTGATCTATGGCCCGAGTGAGATGTTTTGAGCGGGCGATCCGTTCTCGATCCCGCGGCCTGCGATCCTCGTCTCTTCCTTAAACGATCGTTTGTCTTAATCGCCGCCATCGATCGCTCTTCGGCGCGCCGCTCTCTTTATGTGCGTCGAAACCGGTGGCAATATCGTGCTTGTATCATTTCAATGTACTAAGTGCACTTACTTCAATTGTGCACTTATTTCAAGGTGCGTTGTACTTTGTGTTTTTGCAGAGTCAATTCTCAAGGAATAAACATTTAAACCATGATAATATTATGGAATTGAATATTAAAGTATTTACTAAACTCTTACTTCATCTTTTATATCGCAGTGGCTCTAGAATTATTCGCAGAAATATGTTTCTGTGACGCTTTTTTTGCTCTTGTTAATATTCTTCGTTATGTGAGGTAAATAAAAATGATCTCATTGACATTCATCAAGTAATAAGATATAACGTGGAATCATGGGGCTCGAGAGAATATTGGTCCAACCGATATTTATTCCCAAAGGTCAGAGATTTCTTTCTCGTATTCCTTCACGCTGGCGCCCCGATCGCGCCGTCGTCGACGTGTGTTGAATTAATAGGAGGAAAAGATGTAATAAGAATACACGGATACGTCCGTATCGTGCCGCGAAAGAATTCCAGGGTGCCGCGACGCCCCCCACTGGTGGTCTGGGATTAGTCTCCGGGGCCCGTCAAGCAAAGAGAGAGGAAAAGAGAGAGACCTGGTGTGCTCTTGCCGCGGTAAATCATCGACTAGCCGAACGCAGGAAATCAGGGCCGTGCTCAAACGTTCGCCGTTGGAGTCTCGCAGCGGGCGCCCGCTGCCAGCCGCGCGCATTCACGTCGCCACAAAACGAGAAATCACCGCGGTTTGTAAGACATTTGTACCAGCAGGTCGCAGACTCGTCGTCGTTGCCGCCCTTGTTCATGGAACGAGCCACTTCTCGAAGCTTAAGCGCGATAACTACCGAGAACATTATTCCGGCAAAACTGTGCCGGACCGAACTTGTTTAAAGAGCTGTTCACTTTAGTTCGAGAATGATCTGAAGCTGATGTGCAATTTATTGAATATATGGGTCTATAATTAATAACAGATTTTTTATCTTGCAAACAGAACAAAGACATTTGTCACACAAATCGTCCGTTGATTTAGGCGTTTAGGGTGTTTAAGATGCTGTAAGATGTAGGATGTTCCTCTTTTCAATTATTCAGGATGTCGCAGCGCGAGGATTAGATATGCCGAAAGTAGATTGTGTCGTTCAGTATACAGGACCAATTTCGGCTAGAGATTACGTTCATCGAATCGGTAGAACCGCACGCGCCGGATGCTCCGGCACGGCGACAATCTTTCTGACGCCCCCAGAAATCGAGTTTGTTCGGATGCTCGAGTCGCGGCGCATCAGAATCAAGCAGCAGGACATGAACGATATCCTAGACAAGCTACTGGGACCTTTCTCCAAGCACAACTCCGTACAAGCAACGGCTACCGCTCTCCAAAACGACTTCGAAAATTTAGTGCTGGAGAATAAACAACTCGGCGAGAAAGCGTGCAAAGGTGCGTATCATATTTTACATTATAACATAATATAGCTATATTTCTACGAACTTAAGTCGTTATTATACAAGGTGCTCCAAAAAAGTGTTGACACTTACATGGAAGTAACTTTTTTAAAGAAATGGAGCTGATAACACAATATATTATATTAACAAATGTATTCTGTTTTTAAAGAGTCAATCTCGTTGCCATTTAATCAATTGCAAAGAAAAGAAAAGAACATATATATATATATATAATAATAATACATGTATAAATTTTTCATATAAATGTTAACATTTTTTTTAAGCACCCTGTATTTAACATACAGAACCGAAAGTAATCTTCGTAAATCGCACATGCTATAATACTGACCAAAAATTTATTAATAAGAATAATAAGATGAATTTTTACGTACAATAAATTGTTGTGCAATATAAATATGATAGTTGCATAATTTTTTCGTTATTATATAAATGTAACGAAAAAATTATGTAACTATCATATTTATATATTGTACAATTCATTATACATAAAAATTCATCTTATTCTTATTAATAAATTTTCAGTCAGTATTGTAACATATGCGATTCACGAAGGTTATTTTCGGTTCTGTATATTATACTTATATAATTATTATATCCGTGTTATGTTTGATACAAGAGGACACATGCAAAAGCTTAAATGTTTACCTCCGAGAGGCGCAGTGTTGATGATCAGTTACGAAAGATACGTGAGCGTCTACTTTGACGCAGTTGAATTGTAGCGAAAGCGAGCTGACTTCGGGGTAGACTAAGCCAGTTTCAGCGGGCACCCCACTCGCATATCAAGCAACCCCTACGCGTACACGTTATGGGGCTCTTATTCCGTCCCCCTTCACATTCGCCTCGTTCGCCACTTGGATATTTACATAGTCTATGGACGAGGAGGGATGATCCTGTTTGCTATGCCACGGTTACTCTATTAGGGTCGTTACGGAGAAGAATTTATTTGCTGCAATAATAAATCCATTATACCCGATCTAATACTCGTGAAGTGAAGACATTAGCCCTATTCACATTCACGATGACTTTTTTTTCCCCGCGAATCTATTTGCCTTTCCATATAAATGTCATCAATTAACTTGTTGCTTTCTTAAAACGCTCCTTGATTACTTTATTCGGAGATGAAAAAAAAAACTCTACTCTGTCGTGTCACAAAATATAAATATTAATACACAATTTCAAGTTTCTTCTTATCACATTTTTTTCAGAATTTTAGAAAAATTTCTGCTTTATTAACGAACAATATTTGATTATTTTTGCGTAAGTGCGTTAACGACTGTGTTACATCGATTGCCATAATCACGCGAACGACGAGCAATTCCAAAAAGGAACCATTCGGACCATTAATCTTTTTAAAAGGTTTTCGAGCTTCGAAATTGTCCCGCATCAGCCGAGGCTTTACACGAAGGTTAGCCACGGTTTTTGAGCGCTTAGCCGCCCCAGATTTGACTGACGTTACACAGCTAACCACTTGACCGTTCCTCCGCACGTACTCGGTGATTGATAGATTAATTGCAGCCGTCGCTCGTGACCTCGGTATTGCACTTTTCGCATGGGAACCGAGATTACGAGGGAGCGAATGATAGGAAACCAGGAAGCGGATAACAAATTAGTTAACATATCCCTCGATATATTTACCGAGATCATTTCCATTCACAGTCTGCCATTCATTCATTTTAATATGTGCCCACATGTCGACCAAAATAATTATCGGTACTAAATATGTTTAGAAAAAGTTCTTTTTCTCTAACAAAAAAAAGATACGCTAGTAGAGCAATTTTTGAAAGCATTTTTATTGAAAAATATCTCGATTATAATTTTTAAGAATTATAATATTTTGAATAAATGAAAATTATTGTTGGAGAATTATATTTTTTATTTGTATTTCTTCTGTTTGTGTAATTATATCAGATACGACAATTGAGGTGGAAAAAATCGCATTGCACTCAAGTCGGTAATCGTATATCGGACGCGGCAATAAAATATTATTCAATGTTGGAATTAAGATCATAAAAATGTTCGTGCAACAAAAGCACAATGGAAAACTGCGGTGTGCGGGCACGCTATTCCGCGGTCTTCGTAACAATTCCGGAATTTATTTAATTCATGGCTGATGCGAAGGTTGGCCGACAAGCGGAGAAGTGGAAATCTCGCTAATTCGTAACATTATCACCCCAATAGACCCGAACAGCCTTCAATAGCGAGTGCAGCTCTATAGAACTATCCCCGAGCTGCGACCCTCGCCACTAACCTGAGGGATTCATCCACTCCATTCCATATATACGATTTGAGCCTCGTGTGCTCAGCTATATTCCATTCGTCGTAATTCTCGGTAAACATTTCTCGACTATTGCAGCTCGACAGAATCAGCACGAGGGATAATAATTGAACCGTTTAATCTCATTCGATCTATTCCACGCACAATCCAGTAATTAATTCAGATTATTTACATTTGTTGAGACAATAGTTTGTAAATTAAGACACGTGCAATATCAAATTAAATTTACGTAGATTCAAAACAGCTGTAAAACTTCCCTGCGCTTCACATTTTTTAGTAATTTGAAGTCGACATTTTTCAAAAGAACATTTAATTTCTAAAAAAAGGCTAAATATTTAGCACTATTTTTATTACTTATGACGGCAATTTTGATGCTATTGAGTTGATTTCGCGTCTCGTCGAGTTAGATCGAATTCAGTGTATATCGCTCGCGCGCCTTTCACAGAGGGTGGTCGACACAATCCAACCACTGAATGTGACTTCCGCCAAAACCACTTACGCTTTGTGGCGAGAGACTCTTAACAATGCGATACAGGATACAAATACAATAAGACGCAGTTACATCACTTAGGAACAATGCTCTACCCCGCTCTTACACCCCCTTTCCCCCCGCTCTCCTCGCCGCTCCGGTTTCTCAGCTAGACACCCGCCCCCGCGTGTGATTTATGTGCTAAATGGAGAAAAACATTTCTCTCTTTTCAACGCTGACACCAAGCCGCAGGAAAGACTTCAGTGGAGTTTCTTATGTGCGGAAGGGAGGAGTCGAGATTGGAAGCAGACGGAAATCAGGACGGAAAACGTCGAGATATAAGTCGAGCTGCGGGAGAATTATGAAAATTAGAGAGGCACTTACAAAGGGTCCGAGCGGAACGCTCGCTTGCGACAAACAATAAATCTATTCCGTTAAATGCGTTTCATCCAGTTTCGAATGAAGTAGACACCGTACTAACTGGATAAACAAAAAGTATAATAGCGTCGAAATTTCATTTCTATTTTTAACTATTCAAGTTTTAACTTAAGCATTGAATCCATTTGAAGAGTTAAAAAGTTAATTTTAAAAAGCGTTAAAAATTATTTTTTCAATTTCGCATTATAATTATTATCGATAATAATCACTCTGTTTATCGATCTGTAGCAAATTGATTGCTTTCTCGTCTTGCAAAATATCTCAGTGCCGGGATGCAGAAATTAGCGGCCTCTCGAGAAATGGCCGGGAATCAAACTCATCTATCAGAGTTGGGAGATTTTTCGCACGGAACGCCAGGAGCGTGTCAGTGCGCACATGCTGAGTTCTCTTAGGACCAGAGATCCCCCGGCTTTCTCACCCGTGCGCACAAGCAAGAGAGACGTTAAGAAGGGACGCGAGGGTGACTATTAGCTGCAGCACTTGACTCGACTACCCCCTCCTCACCGTTAATGCCCCTTAATAGCCCGCCACGGAGCGCGCACACACACCCCACGGAATCGCGCGGCTCAACCCCCGTGGTACCTAATGGAACTGCGATTAATAAGGGCGCACTACATGTAACTGATCATTACATTCGAGTTGCACGTGACCTCTTAAACATAGACGAGATGAGCGTACTTCTGTAGCCGCGCCTCTCAATTTTATCCGCTTAGACGTATATCTTGCTTGGAAAAAATAAATCTGAAGAACGAATTCAGCGTTTTGTTATTGAGTACAATGCATATTGATACAATGACTAATTTCTCGCTGCAATTAGCTCGAAGCGAGATGCATATTTATTTTTTCAATTAATATCGCACGATAATCACGCTTTCTAGCGTGTGTTTCTTATCACATTTAACGCATCTGTTTATGGTGAATAAATCTGATGCACATATTTGCAATGAGAGTAACGAAAGCTGAAAGGATAATTGTTTTTATTTCACGTTATGATCTTTCTTCCAGCGTACCTTTCCTGGACGCGTTTCTACTCATCTTATCCGCGCGACATGCGCGAAATATTCAATCGAAAGGAGCTTCATTTGGGTCACTATGCCAAGAGTTTCGCGTTGCGGGCTCCGCCGCAACGAATCGGCGTAGTCGGCAAGAAGCTGCACGAGAAGGAAAGCTCCAAGCCTAAGCACGACAACCGTTTAACGAACAAATCGTAAGTATCGATTTCCTTTCTCTACTTCAAGTAGGAGCGCAAATAAATTTCGCGTTATTCGAATAACGTTACGTAAGAATGTCTTGAAAAAAAAAAAATCTCAATCAACGTGTTCCCCAAATCTCGCCCGTTTCTCTGTCGAAACATCGCGCATTGAAAACTGCGGAGGCGTACACTTTACGTCACGCATAGTTGCTATAAACAATATGTTTCCATTTCGGAGGGGGGGGGAGGGGGTCAGAACGATCCGGCTGTTGACCCGCTCAGCTGACATTTCAGCCGGGCGATCGCCGAGTCCCATCGTCTCCGGAGTGATGGTATTAATGACGGATTCACGCGTGGCTTAGCGTGTTAACCGCGGCGCACATCGCCCTCCTCGCCGCTCGCATCCCCCAGCCCCTCCTCTCGCCCTCATCCCCCGCGCTCTCAAATGCGTTACCGCGCGTAGGACGCGCACATGCCGGAGTTGGGCTGGCTCGTGCGGCTCCTAGAGAGGTCGGACGCATCAAAACTGTCCGCTCTGTGTCATCCGTCATGTACGACGAACGGGCGGACGTGTTCTACGGTGGCTGGCAGCCATAAGCCATACGGCGGCTCTCATCGCGGTCGTCCTCGTTGCGCTCTCTCTCTCTCTCTCTTTTTTTTCTCTCTCTCTCTCTCTCTCTCTCTCTCTCTCTCTCTCGCTCTCTCTCTCTCTCTCTCTCTCTCTCTCTCTCTCTCTCTATTCCCTCCGGCCGTTCCCTCCATTTCACTCCGTCCGAACCTCGCATTGTCTCGCTCGCTCGCGACAAATGTGTCTCATTCCTCCTCCCCTCCCCCGCCTCTGTCTCGCTCTCTCGTTCCATCTTCAGACCGGTGTACATTTCACATGGTGCACTCTGCTGGCTTCTGCCCTTCTCTCCAGGCTTCTCCCCGTCTCTCTCCCTCTCTCTCTGTCTCTCCATTGTTCATAATTATACAATACGGCTATTAAACAGACTGATGCGACCGCCACTTCCGGCCGTGGCAGCGCCATTTACGGAAACCACGGGACGAGCACGAGCTCGTCCTCCATCCTCCTCTCTTCGCCCCCATCGTTCCGTCTCGTTCGCGTTCTCGAAATCCGGAGACTGTCACCTATCTATCCGCGCACGCTTCTTCTCGCTCGCGTGTTTATCCCCTCTCTCCCCTTTGCGAGCTCCGATCTTTTTACCGGAAAAACTTTTCACTCACGCTTTATTTTAATTTCAATTTTAGCGAATAATTTTTTGAACACATAGAAAGATACATCATGTGCGTGAAGTGAAATCCGCGATTAATCGATGATTTATCGATGATCGGCCTGAACATCCGGTTTTTATCGCCTCAAAGTATTTTACATCCGTTGTCTGCCACGTTCACGCTTCATTTAGTTCCGCCGCGCTTTCTTTTATCGCAGCCACAAACGAACCAAGTCCGACTACCAGCACGCCGTACTTAATAATTTCTACGCCAACGTCCCTTCATGTATCACGTCGTCTACATCACACGCGGCTACCTCCCGCGTTTTTTTTCACCGAGCTTTATAATTCCTGTGTTCTCCGGCGATCATTTGCCTGCGCGCTGCCATACTCGCATACGTTCTCCGTCTCCCTCTCTCTCTCCCGCGCCCTCTTCCTCTCATTCTACGACCACCATCTCCTCTGTCTGACTTTTTTCTGCGTTACGCGCGGCGAATCTTTCTCCCCGAGACCGGCATTACGCATTAACGTGTTTAATGCGATTTGAATGGGCGTGCTTTGGGTGAACACGACGGGCAACCGACTGGTGCCCTCCGCACGGGGAGAGAACGAGTCAGTTTTAATGGGTGAAAGGCGGGCACTGAGCTGACGGTCCAATGGATCGAGAGACGACCACGGTGTACGCCTCTGTGGGTGCGATTACCTTTACGGATGTGTGCGTGTCTTAGCCCAAGTGCGCTCGTAAATGTGTGCATGCGTGTGCCTGCCGCGGGTTCACGCCATCCTTCTTGCAGTCCACTGCAAGAACCAATCAACAGAATTCTGCATAGCCATCAATTCGCATATCCTTTCAATTGAACGATCAACCTTATTCCGCAGCTCAAAAGTCGAATTTTCTTACGTCTGTGCGATACTCCTTCCATTTCCAATTTGCGGAGTTTGATTGAAATCTAAGAAATGATTTTGCTTGAATTGGTGAAACTAAATTGATCGAATTTACTTTGTTTTCCACTTGCTTTAATCGCTCCATTTATATGTATTTCAAATTAAATCGTTTGACACGATAATGATACGAACTTTGATCAATTTTTTTTTTGTTTTGTTTCTTCCATACAAAGCGATTTCCGCTGTAGTTAAAAAATCTTATCGATCACTGCTGCAGAGTTAACAGTAAATTGTCGTGTATGTGAACTACCGGTTAAATGGGAGGCAGAGTATTGTAGTAGACCGCAAAGCACGATAATGCGTACTCCGTGCGTGACGCGGAGCGGTGGATAAAAACGCAGCGACGAACATGGAATTCGGCACGGCAGTTGGTGGAAGCCCACCTCCGTCCGTCCACGGGGTGTATCGTCGCTTTTTGATGCGCGCGCGTCCTTTTCCTTCTTCCTTTTTTTTTTTGCCTCAATTTCCGATTACCGCGCTCTGTCCTCACCACATGTCGTTTACGTCGAATTACCGAAAATTGCGGGTTACTCCTAATGCGAGAATTAAAGTGCGCACCGGGTGCTCTCGCTTCCAGATCCGACGGGGTGCCGCGACCGGAGAAGAGGAGTCAAGTCGACGAGAGAAGAACGGGGTTGCTGAAGAGGGTCAGAATGCTTAACACCTCCGAATATGACAGCGGCCTCGAACCCCTGAAGAAGCCAAAAAAGTGACTCCGTGCTTCGAACGATCGGTTCGACACGATGTAAACAGAGTGCGATTCCACATCTGTGATTCGCTCTGTGTAAATATATTGATGAATGTTAAATGCACATTAAATGTTAATTAAATATTTTAATTGTATGTTTCCTCATTATTCGTAAGAATAACTGCTAATAATCATTTTAACATTTTTTCAGCGTGGAAATTGCCATGATTTTTCGAGTTAATTTATAATATTTTACATATTCTGATAAAATTTTGACAAGAGTTTCGAGGATTTCAAATTTTAAATCTTTACGAAGGTAACATTGTGAATCAGATATAATTTTCTAATTTATACTGAATGTGGATTTTTTATTTACGTTAACTGCAATTTTTCTTTCAGCGTGTTCAGTTGCGAAATCGTTTAACAATTCTAATATGTTGTTCAGTTTTGCTGCAATCGCTACTAATATGGTGGCAAATACGCTGCGGCAAAATGCAGCACGATGGAAAATGTTGGGTTTAGGGAAATTAAGTGTAACGATATCGCGCTAATCATACGGTCGCAGTCGAGTACGCTTTCGCGGTCACGAGATTGCGCGACGTTTAAACTCCTTTTTTCGCTGCCAACTCCGCTTATCTCATTCTCCTCACGATAATTAGCAATCGTTTTCTGATAGTACGTACTTACAAAACCGCCACTTCGTCGGCGTCATAACGATATCACGCTAATTGCGCTTTCGTTTCCACTCGAGCACACCTACGCAGTCACGAAATTGCAGTTCGCTCGATTATTAAGATAGAATTGAGCAGCCATTAAGAATCACTGTATTTTAATAATTAAATGTTTTGTATAAACATTTTACAGTGTGACAAATGTTTGCATTGATTTCAAATCTGTTATTCTATTTTTATCACTATAATTTGATATACGGTCGAAGATCTCGTAATTATTTAATGTCCTAATTATGAATACATGTCGAATCAACTGTTTCTCCTCTCTCCCTCTCTCTTTCTGTTTCGCTATTCTTACTTTTCGTCTAGACAGATTAATATTAAACAAAGAGCTACATTTAATCTTACACATTAGTGCACAGTGTAAAGTAGCGTTAGTGGCAACGTTAGAAATCGTACATGTGTACTCTTACATACATATGTATTTGTGTATTCGAACGTGCTTACAAGCATGTTACGACAGAATTAGGAATTTCGTCGCCGGGGTTAATTTGCCAAAGGGTGCTAAAGAGCTGACGCGTCCTGCTGGTGCTTCTTTCCCGGCTTCCTCGGACTCGATTTCAGGCAGCTCGAGGGCGCCCGAGAGACAAACCACCACAAAGGGCCTCGCACGTGATTGCGCAGCTATGTGCCGGCAACGAGCGGGAACGCATTTTTGCGGACATGGGCGGCGGGGAAGGAGGGGCAACATCGGACACGGAGCACGTCGACGAGGGGGCCTCCTCGGAAGGACCCCTCGCGGAGGAAGAGCGGCGAGGAGACGGCACGAAGACGATGGGAGGGGGGCGTGCGGGCACGCGGAGGGTATGATTAATACGCGGGCATTATTTTCGGATTTTTTGCCGCGCGATCCGCGAGCGCAAATTGCTTGCAAATAAAGGCGGCGTCGAGCGACTATCGCCGCCGGTAGGACGGCCGGCACGACGGCAGCGGCGGCGGCGGCGGCGGTGGCGGCGGCGGCGGCAGCGGGAACGACGGAAAGGAAGTCACGGAAGGAGGCCGAGAGGAGAGCTCGTCCCGAGCTTAATTTAATTTAATTATGCCCTCTTTCTTCGCTACCAGCGCGCCCGAAGATAGATGGCGGCCACGGAATCTCGCACGTCTCGCCTCGGCTCGTCGCGCCGCCCCGTGCGAGCGTAACCGCGATTTCCGCGACGTAATTCGATTTCCATTCCAAATTACGCGAGTCTCAAATTAACAGCGACTTTTTGCATAAACTTTTTGCACAAGTCGCCGTAGATGGGGCAACAATTGTATTCTCCGGAAACGTTTGCTTCTGCAAACCTTGCGACAAAATCGCGATTGATTTATCTAAAATACTATTGGCTTTTATTAATTGATATTTTTTTACCGACACAGGATCTTATCTTTGGATCTAGGATTTATTCTCTCTTTTTTTTTCTGCCAAGCAAAAAGATGCATCTTTAATTTAGTATGCTTTGCTAAAGAACGCTGCTTTCTTCTTGATTGCATAACGGAGTCCGATCGAGCGCCGCATTTCGGCGCGTCCAATTCGCGCTTTGCCGTCGCGGCGGCACATGATTTAATTCAATCGCGTAGATTTCCGCGTTGACGGATATGTTTTCGAGCACCGCCTAGAGCGCGTTGTTACGCGGCGCTAAACACCGGCGGGAATTAAGGCGGACGCGTGATTGATCGCGGTGATAAATCGATCGTCTTGGGCAACATCACGCTAACATATGTTTATCGCGCGATCTGATGAAAAGCCGCGTTCGCAATTTAATTTAATCGCGCGTTATTTCGTGCCGACCGCCGCGTGCGCACATTTTCGAAACCCACCCAAGTGGCCATCTGCGAGCGGCCGCATTAGACGCGCGAGCGGAGCAAAGAGTGCGATATTTATTCGTAATGCGCATCGCAATTCGTCGTGCCGCGGCATCAGTCATAGTCATCGCGAGCGAGCGTGCGCGCGCTCATAATGAACCGTACGATTAGGATATCCCGTTCGTTTCGTTCGTACGTTTGTTCGTTCGGCGAATGCGTTCCAAGGGAGTAAACGCGACTCACGGCGACCGAATAAAAAGATGCTTTGTGGAAACAGGGGCGGAGCTGTAAACTAATAAACCGTAAGTTTGATGTCGTTTGCTGCTAAAAAGCGGATAATTCTATTTAGCAATATTTAGCAATGTTTTTTAAATTAAGAGAGAATAAAGTAAAATAATATCTTAGATTGGCATAACTCTTTGGACACACGATCTTATTAATGAATTTTTTTCAAAATAAGCCAGCGCAAAAATGTACAGCATTTTGGCTGTATTTTAATTAGACGAGAAGACGAGTGTTACATAAATAAGCAGATTGTTTTATAAAAAGAAGATTTTTTGTCCAACAAGACAATAATAATTATGAAAAATATACAACAAAATTTTATGTTATAATGATATAATAAATAGATAAAAATATTGGAAAGAAGACATGTATATAAGATACAATAAAAGTTGCGGGGTTCAAATCCTAAGATCTCTTATGTGTCGCGTGTTCGAAAAATGGCCAGCATTAATTCGGCAAACTCCAAAAAACCATCATCCGCCCCTGCACAGAGAGAGGATAATCCTCATTATCGCGAGATATGCGCAGCTTGAGTCCGATTAACGCGACGAGAGAAAAAAGGGGGCCGCGGAGCTGGGCAAGAAAGGGCCCACTACGGGGACCGACTATAACCACCCTGTGTCCGCGTCGTCGACCGCTTCTTACGCGTGAAACACCCGCGGCGACGCGTGTGTGCGTGACTCTTTCTAATATGGGGCACAAAAACGTAAGCACTTATAAGAGGCGTCGATTATTCCACGTGATTACCGATTTCCGACCAGTTAACGACTTTTTCGAGTCGCTTACGCCGCCGCGCTCCGTCGCTTATTACGAGTCATTATCGCGCGTATCTCGCTTGTTGCCTTTGGATTTCACGCCTCGAATCGGCATCGATCCCCCGGCCGTGTATTCGTTCGAAATCGAGGTCGAAGCGCGCCGACCTGTAACGAATCTCGACGCGCGCTCCGACGAAATTTCTTCGCATCGTCGCATAATCGTTTCGCAACGTTTTATCAGCCGGCCAACGTGTAATTGGTTCTTAATTTCTCACTTCCTCAGGTGAATTTCTCAACTTTGTTAACCGACGCTTAGCGCGATGAAAAATATTAGCTAATTAGAAAGGCGTGATTTAGCGCTTGATTTTTTATCTCGACATTTATCTAACATGAGCGTGGTAGTTTATCCTGTTTTTCTCTCTTTTTTTAATCGAGATAATCTCGAGATAAATGATTATCATGAATCTTCGTATCAACATACTCGTAGTTTAGAGAAAAGGCAGCAATATTTATAGTTATGTATTTGCATACTATTATTACTTCAACGTTTAAAAGGAACTAAATTGCAGATTAGTTGCAGATTAGTTGCAGTTGTGTTTATCGCATGACGTACTATTTACTCAGACAAAAGATACAGACATGTTACGGATGTTAAAATAACATACAGCTTGCATGACCACGTTGTTTCTTGAGCATTCCAAGATATAAAGATCGTTTCTCAATTTCACGCTTAAAATTAATGATCATTTGTTACGAAAATTGCTCAGTACGTTTGAGAAATCTTCACTCTTTCCACCTAAAGATGCTCTTTTGATAATTGCGATTTAAAAAAAAAACAAAATTAACCTCCATTATCACGCACTATTAATCGCATAGTACTTTAATATTTTTCTGAATCGGTACTTTTTTAATTAGCAGGTTAATTTATAATTGCACACGTCGAATTGGGAATTCGGAATAAAATTCGACTTCTTCCCAACCTTTTCCTTCTTCGTATTTTATAACGGTCCTTAAATCTTTTACATCAAATATGGTGCGATAAAGTTTCTCTAATACGGCCGCGCCGCAATATCCGTCTATTCACGTGTCTCGCAATCGGCATAATAAACGGAGAAGGGAAAGAACTCTTTTCGTGGCGGCAGGAAGCAACGGAGCAACCGTTTCCGCGAAGCGGACGAGTGAAATCCGTTCGCGAAGACGCGTTAGAATCGGCGCGATTAGCATTTTACGGGCCGCGCATATCCCGTGGAAACGTTTTATTGGTGTGTCGTGCGAAGAAACCATAGCCCCGCGCCGCCGGCAGTAGCAACGGTTGCAGGTTGCTCGCAACCTGCACTCTTCCATCGTTATTTTCTCATGTATACGACCCGCATATTGCACCGTGATTCCGCGCGTTCGGTAACGTCGGTTAGGCTTCCCTGCCATTTGGCGATTGTTGCATAACGCTCGTGTGCTTAGCGTCATCGACGTGTTAATCCGGTAAGAACCGTGTCACGAGCATAGTTTAACATGGCTTTCGGTAGCTCGAATATCAATGAAACTGTGCGCACGTTTCGAATGACGCAACGAGTATCTCTAATTGAATTTAAGCAAC